TGCCAACATGTTAGAGTTCGGGAGCCTCATTCCACTGCCTGATGGTGTACTCCAGCGAAAAACCTTGGACGATAAGGGTAAACCGATCCGCTACCATACCAGCTTCAGACGTCGCCTCGGCTGCGAGTACATCACATCTTCACCACGAACTTGGGGAAGTTCGCAGAAGCAAGAGTTGGTGGACTGCGCTCGTCATTGTTTATTCTTGGAACACTACCCACCCCGTTGCCTAGGGACTTCTCCACAAGCTCTATCGTACTGTTGTGTGCGGTTGACGGATGACGGATGTCCTTTCGCCAGAGTGCTATGTGGGGCTTCTTCAAACAAAAGTAGGAAACTTGTGGATGCGGTTGTGCTCGTGGCACGGAACGAGCTGGTGCTTAAGGGATCCAAGTTCATGACGGTCATGTCTCGCCCAGATGTAGATGGGCAGTCAGACTTGGTGAGAGCAGGTCGGGTCATATGTTTATCATTATGGCATGAGGTGGAAGAGAAAGTGTCCGAAATACGAGACTGTATAGGGAATTCTTTAGCACGATCAGGAGCGTTTGTCATGATGAAATACATGTCCGTGTTTTCAAAGAATGCAACTGTCCACGAACCGCAGAGCCACATATATGGATCATCTATGAATGTCATGTATGGTTTCGGTTCACGACCTCATCCGCGAGAAACCCCGTATGTCACAAGATACGGACGTGTGGTCAGACCTTGTGTTTAAGGGCGATTGTAATTCTAATGAACTCTTCTGGTATTACAGCTATTTTCTGCTGTGTCGCGAAGTTACGTCGTCTTGCGATGTCGTGTTGTGTACTTCTATGACCTTGTGTTTAAGGGAAAACATGTTAAAATACAATCTTGTGGAACATGATGTGCATGTGCACCTTGAAATGGTGGATATGCAGACAATCACACATTGCCTCTCGCACCTATTGCAACTATTGCCTCTAGCACCTCTATCTACTACTTCATACACGTTGCCTCTAGCACCTATTGCAACGCCTCTCAAACCTCTATCTACTACTTGTTTTTTGCTTCGAACGTTTTTCCGGAAACAACCCCTGTCTACTTTGCAATGTGCGGTTCAGTGGTTTGAACATTTCTCGCAACTCTACGTGCGTTGTTTCCATTTACGATGGTGCAGTATTAGGAAAAGACTATGCAAGTTGCGAGTGTTTCTATCTCCACGTTGCGGTGACAAGAGTAAATGTTCTGAATGGATGTTACGTATCTTGTCCATGCAAAGAAATGACACGAGTGTTTCGATCTCCGATGTTCATGCCAATGTCTTACAGTCCTATACATGCTCATGTCAAGGAGGAGATCGATGTTTGCGATGACAAGAGTGAATGTTAGGAATCTATGTTATTGATTTGTCCATGCAAATGACAAGCCAGCATCCGTATTGTATCACCGCGCTGATGGTGTGCGTTCATGTTGTCCATCTAAATGAGAGTTCACTCCGACTTGTGGTGTGTACCCCGAGCAATCCGCTAGTTGTCCATGCAAATATCTAAGAACTGATAACCTGCGAGATCTAGAGTTCAATTCTGTTTCTTGAGTGCGAAACTCTGCTCGAAACAGATCCAAATCCAACAGGAAGTCCCGCCACAGACCAAGGTTCCCTTATAGTGCGTGGCCGTCCGCACAGACCGCTGCTCAGTCACCAAACCGATATCTGCGAATTGATTCGCTGTTCAACTAGTATCGGTCAATGCCTTTCCAGGTCTCTCTCTCTCTCTCTCTCTCTCTCTCTCTCTCTCTCTCTCTCTCTCTCTCTTTCTCTCTCTCTCTCTCTCTCTCTCTCTCTCTCTC